TGTCTCAAGAAAAAAAAAAAAAAAGAAAAGAAAAGAAGCACACAGAGTGTTGAAGGGGACCCAGGGGGATATGGATGGACACCTTCAGTATACACACCATGTCATTTAATTATTTCTTGCATTTTACTCACTCCTTTGCCTAGAAACTCTTCCTGTCTTCCTCCTGCATGAGATTAACCCGTAATCATCAAGATCTGTATCTGAACGCCTTTCCTGATCCCATCCCTTTCTCAGTGGAGCTTTTTCTTTTAGTTTTTCTATCACCCTGAACACCTCTATTGCTGCATCAACCACCCTATATTGGAAAGTATGTATGTACGTATTCTTCTGTAGAATTATAATCTCCCAAAGGCAGAAAAGGTTTTAGCTCTTTTTTTTTTCCGTCTGTATAAGTCCTGTTCCTGGTATTGTAGACAATCCATCATTGGTAGCTTCAGAAACATCTGCTGACTCTAAGCAGGCTGTGTCTTGAAGGATGAGTTACAAGAGTGGGGAAAGACATCTCAGACAGAAGGAGCTCTGTGGGCAGAGGCAGAGAGCCATGAGTGAGTTTTGTGTGAGGAGGAATGGTTGGCATTTCCCTATAGCTGTGGCACAGGGTATGTGGCAGAGAAAGAAAGGAACATATGATGGAGAAAGAAGCTGAAATATGATCTGGTGATTGGTTGTAATGAACTCATTTATGTCCCCTCAAGGAATACACACTTTCCCCTTCAGTAAATTAAGAGACATCACAGATATCTCAACAGGAAGTGGTGTTAATCAGGTAAAGTAGGGTAGTGATTTCTTTTTGTGTTTAATTTAGTGTGTTTTTGTGTTCAACTATATCTTCTTGGGGTGGTGAGATTACAAATGATTTTAATTTTCTTCTTTCTTTTATGATATTTTCATAATGAACATATTAATGTATTTCTTTCATGTTAAAAAAAAAGAAACATTTATATCTCTTAAAAAAAAATAAACTCTGATGGAACAGTGAAAAGTAGATTGAGGAAAAGGAAAATAAAACTAGAAAACTCTTCACCTAACATCTCCACATAAACAGATGGTTGGCTGACTACAACAGTAGGATGGTTAGGATGAATTAGAGTCCATAAATATTGCTGAGCTCCAAGTGACAGCCTTAGTGGCTGTTTTAGTCTGTTGCCATAAAGAATAATCATAGACTGGGGCAGCTTAAATAACAGAAAGTTATCTTTTCATAGTTCTGGGAGGCTGGAAGTCTGAGATCAGGGTACCAGCATGGTTGGTTTCTGGTGAGGGCTCTCTTCCTAGCTTGTAGACAGCTGCCTTCTCACTGTGTCCGCACATATCAAGGAGAGAGAGAGAGAGAGAGAGAGAGAGAGAGAGAAAGAGTAGGCTGTCTGGTGTCTCTTTTTATAAGGGCACTAATCTCATCACGAGGGCCCCACCTTCATGATCTCATCTAAACCTAATTACCTCCCAAAGGCCCCATCTCCAAATACCACCACAGCAGAGGTTAGGGCTTCAACATACAAATTTTGGGGAGGATACAATTCAGTCCATAGCAGTTACTGACTGGCTTCAGTTTGAGTGGCCAGGATTATTTAATAGTTTGTGTTAGGTAAGTTAAGAACTCTAGGAAAAATTGTCAGTGGGAAGGGAAAAGAGTCTGTATTTAGTTTCAGATATATTGAGTCTGAGGTCTCTGTTGAATTTCTAGTCACCGAAATATGTCCAGCTAAAAATGTAGTCTGATACAGCTTTATATCAAATTGGGGAAGTTGTTTTTAATGATAGAATACAATTGGCAAAGATTCAGCATTGTGTACATTTGTATAGAGTGCTGGCAGGTATGAAAATTGATACAACCTTTCTGAAAAGCGATTTAGAAACTTGCATCAAAAGCCTTAGGTATATTCTGCACACAGCCATCAATTCAACTACCAGGAATCAATCTGAAGGAAATAATCGATGATCTGAACAAATGTTTATGTCTCGATATGCTTTTCTCCGTATTATTTTATTACCAAACTTGGAAGCAACTCCAATATCCAGTAATAAGGGACGGTATAATTAATTAATTAAGCAAATTATGGATTGTTATGCATTCATATGATAAAATAATATAGTTATTAAAACTTATGAAATGATATGTGTTCAAAAAGAAAAGCAAGATTCAAACATCTTATATAGTATGAGCTTGAATTATGTGTTTTTAAATACCTCATACACCGAAAACATAGACTAAAAACATATAT